AATTGTTCCAATTTCATTTCCCTTTATGCTTTCCCAAAAATATCTCCATCGTTCATAATATCCTTCAACTTTAAGCACCATCATCTCTCTCTAGTACTAAAGAGTCATATGCCATGTCATCTTATTCTAATGCTCAATAAATGATGATGCTTACATACCAATATAACAAATAAAGCAAGAAAGAGGCAAAATTTTGTTGGTTTCCCTCTAAAGAAGCCATACCTTAATCTATTTGTACAATGCCTTGAGTTAGTACTTGGAACTTTCATTTCACTGTTGCATCTTTCTCCTTATTTTCTCACCAATAATCGCGGCAAGAACAAAACCCATCTTTGAAATGGTGAAACCTTGTAGTGTCTCTTACTATTATCTCCCTTCCCACAAGCTTGGAAATGAACTTTATAGCCGTATGGCAATCATTGCACACTCTCAGATTCTTCATGATCCTTAACGTGGTTTTATCCGGAGTGTTAATTAGCCCGAATGCGATTGCTAGTTTCTCGCTGTGGTGTCTTAGGATCTGCTCTTTGACCTCTTCTTCGAGGTCGTGTAGTACAGAAGCAGTGTCAGGAATATAACCCATTTTCTTGATCTCGTCCCAAATCTTCTTCATGGTAAAGTAGATGTCCTTCTTTTGTGGGTGAGTCCCGTCTTCGACTCCAAAGACATGGACTTTATGCTTCACTTCAATCCAGCTAAACCCTTGCTCCTTCTTCACTCTCCCAACTTTCATGGATTTTCTTGTCTTAGCAGATTCTTCCCATTTTCCACAAGCTGAGTATAAGTTGGCCAGGGCTGAGTATGCCCCACTGTTCTCTGGCTCGATAAGAAGCAATCTCTCTGCTGCAACTTTCCCAAGATCGACGTTCTTGTGAACCCTGCAAGCAGAAAGAAGTGAACCCCATGTCACTACATCCGGCTCAATCGGCATCTTTTTGATGAACTCATGTGCTTCCTGCAATAAACCAGCACGTCCAAACATGTCTACCACACAAGCGAAGTGGCTAAGAGTAGGTTCAATCTTATCCACGTCCTTCATCATGTCGAAGTATTGACGGCCTTTGTTGACCAAACCCGCGTGAGTGCACGCAGAGAAAACACCAACATATGTTATATGATCAGGTCTTAGTCCTTCCATCAGCATTGTTTCAAAGAGCTCAAGTGCTTCCTCTGCGTGACCGTGCTGTCCCAATGCGATAATCATGGACGTCCAAGATACTGTATCTCTTTCGCAGCGTATCAAATCAAATGCCTGCCTTGCCGATCTAATGCTACCCGCCTTTGCATACATCGTTATCAACGCATTGCTGACAGAAACTGAATGGAATTCCCCTGACTTTACAGCACTCGCATGGATTTGCTTGCCATGACCCGATGATGCCAAACTTGAAGATACACTTAACATTGCTGCGAGAGTGTAACTATTTGGTCTCTGCCCTTCTCCAACCATTGATCTGAAAAGGTTTATAGCTTCACCATACAAACCGTGTTGCTCATACCCTACAATCATGGCAGTCCACGCCACTACATCGCGATCTTTCAAAGAATCAAATATAATCTTAGCTTGATTCATATCTCCAAGCTTAATGTACCCATCAAGTAAAGCTGTAAAACCTTCAATCTTGAGATCAGAGGTTCCTTTTTGTTCTATGAGTCTTCGGGCAGTCTCGATCCCTCCACACCTCGAATACATCGAAATCAGGGCGTTTAACACAATTCCAGAGATATCAAATCCCGTTGTAATAATGTGTGAATGAATCTGCTTTCCGATACAATGTTTCTCAAGATTGGCACAAGCAGATAACACACTTGCCAGAGTGAATCTATCTGGTGACAACAGAGCATCCCTAAGCATCTTTGAAAACATATCTAGAGCTCTACGATCATACCCGCACTGATTGTAGCCAGATATAATAGAATTCCAAGTGACTATATCTCGCTCAGCCATTTGCTCGAACCGGGCCATAGCTAGATCAATCTGACCAACCTGCATGTGTAACGCAATCATAGCATTCCAGGTTGAGATATCTCTAACCACCATTCTATCAAAAACAGCTTTTGCCATCATTGGATCACCACACTTTGCATACATATTAAGCAGGGAATTCGACACGGAAACGTTACTACGAAGGCCAAGCTTAACGATAGAAGAATGGACTTTTTTACCTGTCTCCAAACAGCGAGTTGCAGCGACCGATGCAAGCACATTCGTAAGCGTGAACTGCGTTGGCTCAACCCCTTCCCTCATCATTTCCCCCATAATTCTTATAGCCTTTTGATACTGACCAGTTTTCTTATACCCGACAATCATCGTAGTCCACGAAACCGAATCCCTTTCAGGAAGCTGATCAAAGAACTCGCATGTCAAATCCATGTCTCCTCGTTTAGCATAGGCTGAGAGAACCGTGTTCCATGAGAAAGCTGTTCTCAGAGGCATTTCATCGAACAACTTACGTGCATGTTGAGCATAACCAGTCTTTGAGTAGACGTTCATTAGATTATTCATCAGGTAAACGCTGAAAACGAGACCTGATTTGATAACACGACAATGGACTAATTGAGCTGTGAAACGACCATTGGACTTGAGAGATTTTTGCAAGAGATTGGTGCAAATTTCCAACAGAGTAGGTAACGATGGTGGAATCGGAGCATCCATTGGAAATTAGGAAGACACAAACGTACAACTTCAAAAAATTCTCTTCTTTAAGCTTCCAAATTCTATGAAAAAAATCTGCAAGGTGACAATTTTTTGGAAGAGAAAGCTTTTCAATGTTGAATTTGGCGGCAAACGGGTCAAAAATTCGTTTTGTTTTTGCCTTTCACAGTTTCACTTAAAAGATAGTTAAAAATACTTTTTTTTAGAGTCTTTAAACACTTCCATTGGAAGTATCTCCATAAGATACTCTTAGAGCATCATTATCCATGAAATTTGGTGGGTATCATTAGATATAAAATTATTAAAACACACATTATCTATTCTTTTTACTCAACTTTATACTTTCTCTTTCATCCTTTTATTCAATTTTTATTAATTTTATATTTAAACACACCCCAACTAAAGTTTAAACTCTCTCCAAAAGTATCAACCCATTGATACAAAGACACTCTTTCTCCAAAAGTATCAACTCATCTCCTCTTTTTACTCAAATTTTGTTAATTTTATATTTCAATACACTCCATTATTTCAACCAAAAACACTATTTTTCTTCCTTTTACTCAAATTTTAATAATTTTATATCTAATGATACCCACCAAATCTCATGGATAATGATGCTCTTAGAGCATCTCTATCTAAAAATAGAAAATATATTAGATGAGGTTCTGAACAATTAAAAGATTTAAAATAAATAAAAAAAGAAAGATTAGGGCAGAATATGTTCTCAAACAAGAGATTGTAGAGTCATTCAGTACCTCTGAGGTGTCAAATGCTCATTGGTTCCGATTAATAAAAAAACAAAAAAAAAATGAGAAGGGGAACACAA